TATGGCACCAACTTATGAATTACCAAAATGTGAACAATTAATGAGTCCAAATTTTGCTGCCCATGGAATAAGTTTATTGTTTTCAGATGTAATATATTCATAATTTTTAATTTTAATATTTAGTTTTTTATATTAATTTTTTTTTTTTTTTCAAGTTTCAAGCAAAAATTAACAATTATTTGGCAAATAAAAAATCAGAGTATTTAGGATCAGTTTCGGAATATTTAAAAATGATAATATTACCAAACCCACCAAAGTTAGTTTCAAATCTAACCGATGAAAATCTAAATAAATTTGAATGGTTAAGTGATCAAGAATTTGGTAGACAAAGATTACAAGGTTTAAATGCTGGCCAATTAGTTAGACTAACCAATGAGAAAGTTAAAGAGTTGGGCATTAGGAATAAGTTGAATTTTGAGAAAAATTTATCAACGTTTAATATGATTTTAAAGAGTCAAGTGGGTAGCGATAGAGATTTCCAAAAAATGCTTGATAATGGTAATATCTATATGGTAGATTACTCAATTTTTGATGATGTAAACTATTATGAATCTGCCAAGAAAAGAGGTCGTTACGTTTCAAGTCCATTGGCTTTATTCTATATAAATGAAAATGATGAAAAACTCTATCCCTTGTGTATTAAGATCTTACAAAACGATGAATTTTCTCCAGTGTTTTCACCTTCATCATATCCACCAGAATCTTGGGTATTCGCTAAACTTTGGTTCCAATCAGCTGATGGCCAACATATGGAATTCTTTACCCATCTCTATGAATGTCATTTATTAGGTGAAGTTTTCACAATTGCTACACATCGTCAACTTTCAACTTCTCATCCTATCTATCAATTATTACACCCTCACTTTAATCTTCTTTTAGATATTAACCATAGAGCTAGGGGTAATTTACTCTCGAGTTTTGGCCCAATTGAATCTTTATTAGGGGGTGGCTCAATTGCTGCTCTTCAACTAATTGTTAAATATCATAAAAATTTCATTTGGAAAGAAAATACATTTTTAAATAGGTATGTAATTTTTTTTTAATATGTAAATAATAATAATAATAATAATAATAATAATAATAGTAATAATAATAATAATAATAATAATAATAATAATAATAATAATAATAATAATAATAATAATAATAATAATAATAATAATAATAATAATAATAATAATAATAATAATAATAATAATAATAATAATAATAATAATAATAATAATAATAATAATAATAATAATAATAATAATAATAATAATAATAATAATAATAATAATAATAATAATAATAATAATAATAATAATAATAATAATAATAATAATAATAATAATAATAATAATAATAATAATAATAATAATAATAATAATAATAATAATAATAATAATAATAATAATAATAATAATAATAATAATAATAATAATAATAATAATAATAATAATAATAATAATAATAATAATAATAGTAATAATAATAATAATATTAATTTTATAAAATAATAAAAAAAAATAGATTAAAAAAGAATAATACATTAAATGATAATAAAAATCGAAAATATTTTTTTAAAGAAGATGGTATTGAAATTTATAAACTTTTATCAAAATTTGTAAAGGATGTGTTATCTAAATTCTATACGTGTAAAGAAGATATTGAAAGAGATTTCGAATTACATTCATGGGTTTATGAGATTTCAAATGATCAAGGTGGCACAATTAAAGGTTTGATTGAAGGTGACAAACTTGTTGAACTTGATCAAATAGTTGAATTAGTTACAGATATAATATTCCGTGTAACAGTTGAACATTCAATTGGTAATCATGGTCAATGGGATATGTTTGGTTTTACACCAAATGTACCAGGTGCTCTCTATATGGATCCACATAAAATTATTGAAGGAATTCCAACTACTTTCGAAATGATTATCAATTCATTACCACCAAAAAAAGAAACTCAAGACCAAATTGCAATCACTCATCTTTTAGCAAATACCGACACTGGTTTACCAACTTTTATCTCTACAATCTATGAGTTTGAAACGGATCAATCTGCCCCAAACTTTAAGGATATCTGTTCCTCCTACAGATCGAAAATGGAACAATTATCAAACACTATCGAAAATCGTAATAATACTGTAAATATGCCTTTCTCTTATATGGATCCTTCTAAAATTTGTGGTTCAATTTATATTTAAAAAAAACTATAAAAAAAAATAAAAAAAAATAAAGTACCATTACTTTTCTATTTATATAAAAAAAAAGATTTATTAACAATAAATAAATCAATAAATTAACCTTATTTTTTTTAAAAAAATAAATTATAAAAAAAGAATCCTTGTGAATATATTTTTATTTAAATTATTTTTATTTTTTTATTTTTTTTTTAAAATAAAGATTTTTTTAAAACTTTATATAGGAAATAAATTACGATTATTGTCGTAAAAGAGATCGAAATAAATTCGGACAATAAAAAGGTTGATTTTTCACATTCTAAATAGGAGTGTTTTGTTGAATGAATTTTATGAATTACACTGCTGATATTCATAGCGAGATCAGATAGTTGGTTAATGCTATTGTATGCTTGAGAGTATTGATGAAGTTGTAAATTTGAATTGATATCGGTGATGGTAGAATTAATACTCTTAAAGAAAGAATCTATTGATCTTACACTAGGATTATCAATTGAATGAGTGAACTCATCCCAAGTTTCATCGTCACCAATATGATCCATTATACTCTTTAATGAATCAATCGATGATATTATATCAAAGTATAAATAGTTTCTAATTGCCGAATCGGTTTGAGAGAATGATAGATCCTTTAAATTTGTAAACATATTACTTGGATTATAACCAATATTCCAAATGAAATTATTTTCAATTTGTTTAGAATTTTCATTTACAACCAAACTATTAGATCCAACACCCCAAACTGTCATTAACAATGATTGTAAAATTGGTTTTGTTGCATCCATTGGATTAATTCCTAATTGTTTATCACATTGATAATCAATTTTCATTAATCCTGATTGAGTTTGAATACCAATAATCATATCAGGAAATGATACTGCCTTTTAAAATAAAATAAATAAAAAAATGAAAACATTAATATTTTCCTATATATATTTTTTCTATAAATTGAAAAAAAAAAAACTTACTTGATAATATCTATCTAATAATAATAATTCTTTATAAGAAATATCAAATAAAAAAATTGGAATAATTGTTTTTGAAGGATCATCCAAATAAGATGGAATGAATTTTTGAATATGAACTTTAAACCAATGATGAAGTTCTTTTGAATCTAAAAATTGTTGAGTACCTTTTAAAGCTGAGTGATGAGTTTTCAATGAGGACTGTTTAATTTGAGCTGCATACAAGTTATTTAATAAAGAAACTTCTCTCTTTGAAAAAGATATTCTTTGATTTGGTAATAATGGCATCTTTTCACCTAATTGCTCCTTTATTGATTCCCAATCAAATTGTTCTGAAACTTCTAATTGTCCAACCAAATGATCATGAATCATAATTAACTGAATCTCTAAATCAATCCAACCATAATTCTCTGGTATTTGATAAATTGGTGGCGATATTAATTGTCTAATTGTGTGATAAAAAAATATTGAAATATCATATAATTTCTAATAATAAATAATGAATAAAAACATTTGATAAATTATTATTATTATATTATTATTATTATTATTATTATTATTATTATTATTATTATTATTATTATTATTATTATTATTATTATTATTATTATTATTATTATTATTATTATTATTATTATTATTATTATTATTAGCTATTAGTTAAAATAAACAAAAAATAATATCTAAAAAATAAATAAAAATTAAAATTAAAATTACTTTTGTAAATCTTGAATTTGTATGTGGTAATTGATCATTTGAAATTAAACCTGTTCCTTTAGTTTGTGGACCATAAGTACAAGTTTCAGCGCCAATATCAATCCAAACATATCTACCACTACCATCATTTGAATTATTTGAATTCTTTGGTGATTCAGATTTAGATTGCCATAATTTAACATTACATAAATGATCGACTAAATCGATACCATCTCTGTGTAATGAATTTATAGTTGTTGAGTTCAACTGAGAGTAGGTATATTTTTCAATTCTAGAGTAGTCCTCACGATCATAGATTGTGTTTATAATGTAAACAACATATGAAATATGATTTTGTTGCTTATAATCTTGAGCTATAATGTTGTCCACTATATCGAACGGTACTAAATATTCATCCTGTTTTAATGTGCTCCTATGTTGAAAATCTGCAATATATTTTTTAACTGCTGCTTTAATATCTTCATTTAAATTATGTGATCCTTCTGTTATTGTAAATTTATGATTTTGTTTAATTAAATCAATAGTTTGTAATTTCTTATATTAAATAAAAATAAAAAAACATAATTACTATTAGTTATTTTAGATTATAATGTTTTTTTTTTATATAAAAAACCTACAGGATATAAAACAGTAGGACTATAATCTTTATTTAATTTATTTAATAATATTTTTAATTCATCTTGTTCGAGTGAATCAAAACCAATCAATTTAACATCAATGTTGGTTGTATGTTGAATTTTAAAAAGTTGATCAAATAAACCATTTGAATGAACTATATTTACAAGTATAAAAAGTAAAATAAATAAATATACTATTATATTGTTATATTTCATTGTTAGTGTTGGTTCTTTTTTTTTTTTTATTTTTTTTTTTTATAAAAATTGTTAGATGAAATGAAATTCAATTTAAAAAAAAAAAAAATAAAAAAATTATGTTTACCCTCAAAAAAAAAAAAAAAAAAAAAAAAAGAGAAAAAAAAATGTGTCAAAACATTTAAAAAAAATATAAATAAAGAAAATTAATATTTTTTAATAAAAAATGAAGAAATTTTATTTAAAATATATAAAATTTTCTATTTATAGGATGATTTTACTATCACATATTTTTTTTCATTAAATTAAAAGGAGGGGGTAAGTGGAGGTGCGTAATACGCAACGACCACAGCTACCACAAATTGGTCAATTGAATTCTCGTAATTGAGAATCATACACAAACCAAACCAGAGTGCAATGGTCTGAAATTCATGCAATTAATATGCCTTGATGATCACATATTAATATTGACAGGTAAGTATGAAGTCTAATAGCCCAATTACCTGCCATACTTATTTATATCACTTTATAATTTTGATTTATGGGTTTTTTTTTATAAAAAAAAATTCAAAAAAAAAAAAAAAAAATTTCTGGATAAATTTCGATTGAAGAAAATTTTAGTGTTAAGAGCCTTTCAAAATATAAATATTAAGAAGAGCAGATAAAAAAAAAAATTTTTTTTTATCTACTCTTCTTTATCAAAACATAACATTTTTTTTTATTTTGTTTATTTTTAATGTTTTTTTTATTATTTTTTTTAATGTGTAATTTTTAATAAATACAACAATAAAATGGATAAAGATGTTCAAGCTTTATCGATAACGGTTATGGTGTGTAAAGCCGGTTTCGCTGGTCCCATCAATTGTTGGTCGACTAAGACAAAATCTTTTTGTCAATAGATTAAAAAAGAAAAAAAAAGAGAAAAATTAACAGAATTTAAAGAATAGAATTCTTTTCATTCTTTGCAACAATCCAATGATTTTTTTTTTTTTTTTTTTTTTTTTTTTTTGGGATTTAAAATATAATATTAATTAAAATTAAAAAAATTAAAAATAAAAAATAATAGTAAATCAGCAGGATGAAATGTTTTTATTATTTTTAAAATTTTTTTTTTATAACTATTTTTCAACAATAATAATCAAAAGTGCCAATTAAATTTGAAGAGATGAATTTATTATTTGGTAAAATTAAAAGTGATTGATCATTTTCACCACCATACAAATAGTTATGTTCAATTGAATTCCAAGATATTGGAGTATCAGCGAAACCATAAACATTTAAAACACCATATTCAATTAAACCTTTTGAAATCATTAATTTAATTTTTTCAATTAATTCTAAAATAAAACTATTTGAAACGAAACCATTTTGGGTTGCCTTGAAACAATTTGTTGATATTGGGCACATTGATAATAATGAATTACCAATTTCAAAATCTCTAACTTGTTCTAAATTTATACCTAAACTTGCAAATCCTAAAACTTCAATCCATTCATTTATAAAATCATTATAAATTATTTTAATTGATTCTTTTTTAGAGTTATTATTATTATTATTATTATTATTATTATTATTATTATTATTATTATTATTATTTTCATTTGTATTGTCATGATTTAAATATTCATTTAAAACGTTTAAAGTTGGTAAACGTAGTATTGAAATCTGTTGAGTCGATTGATTATATAGTGGTTTAACTTTTACACCTTGAGGGAAATCAATAATTTGCAATTGGTTTGTATCAGGTTTTTGAGAGTAACAAATTAAATTTATAGAGGATAATCTATCTTTTAATGCCCAAATTAACCGAGTATACGATTTTGAACCACGTTGAAACTCTTTACTCGTAGTATCCAATGTGATAATATATCTTTGTAAATTTCTAAAAACTGATGGTTTACCAATTAATCCCAATTCTTGATAGGTCTCTTTCTCTACATTTAGTATTATCTTTGAGTTTGGTAAAAATGCTACAACATTACCAGAATCTATGAAATTCAATTGTGAGAGTGCATGAAATCCACCATTTTTTATATATTTATCAATAAAGTCATGTGATAATAATAAATCTAAAGTTGTTTCAATTTGATAATAAAGTTGGTTTGTATTAATTTCTAATGATTTCGGTTGTTGTTGTTGTTGTGCAGTCATTGATGATGGTAATGGTGTAATTGATTGTTGTTGGAAATAGCCAGTGAATTCGCCTTCAACAACTAATTTACCAGATAATGATGCCTGTGATAATAAACTACCCTTTGATTTTTGTTTTGGTTGTTGTTTTTTATTCTTTGAGTTCCCCTCTTCTTCTTCTTCTTCTTTTTCATTAGAATCATCATTTTCGTTTGGGGTTCCTTTAATTGGTAATATGATTTCAACTTTTTGATTAAATAAATGATTTGTTATAAAGTTTTTATTAAAATTTTCAATTTGATCTTTATCATTTGGATCAACGGTTATCCTTTTTAATAATATCTTATTATTTGGTACTTCATTATTAACAATACTCATATTATTACAAATTTTTTGAAAAATGAAAAAAAAGTTATTGGATGCGCAATAAAAAAATAATTATACGAATTATTTCATTTTTTTTATTTTTGTGCGTTTGACCTTTTTTTTTATTTTTTTTTTTAATTTTTTTATTTTTAATAAAAAAATGAAAAACGCACCCAAATGTGTCAATGGAGTATAACAAAAAAAAAAAAATAATTATAAAAATACAAAAAATAAAAAAAAGGTGAAACGCACAAAGAATTAGAGTTTGTGAACGAATTTTTTGTCCAAAAAAACCTAGGAAACATTTCAACCTTTTATCTGAGAATAGCTTTAGAATTTCATCAACCATGCTAATAAATTCCTCCATTCTCTTTAACATATCAGTGGTAAATTTTAAAGATTGATTAAAGGTCAATTGTTGAATTTTATTTGAAAATATAGGAAGAATCTAGAATATATACAGGAATTGCCATTGGATACAATCAATTTTGAACCAATGACAAATGATGGCATCTTCATCATCGTTAAATTTAGAGAAGTTGAAAAAATAACAGGTGTGCAAACGGGTGATATTAGAATATTTATTATTTGGTGGTTTCCCTGTGGAAGTTAACACTTTATTAGATGACCATTTTTATAGATTCTTTGGTATACTTACTATTTTCTTCCAGTGTGACGAATTACATCTTTTATTATAATTATAAAAGAGTTAATAAATTAATAAATTAATAAATTTAAATTAAATAATAATAATCTTACTCAATCTATTGTTTTTTTTTTAAAATGAATGTCTAATGTATCTGATAAAATAAAATATTAAAAAAAAGGAAACATCATAATAATGATAATAATAATTTATTATAAAATACATAATATAATATAAAAAAAAAAAAAAAAAAAAAAAAAAAAAAAAAAAATAAAATAAAATAAAATAAAATAAAATAAAATAAAATAAAATAAAATAAAATAAAATAAAATAAAATAAAATAAAATAAAATAAAAAATATAAAAAAAAATAATATAAAATAAAAAAAGAAATTATTTCATTTTTTATCTTATTTTTTTTTATTTATTTTTATAGATTATAACTACATTGACTATTTTTAATAGCTATTGCATCCATTTTAAATTTCCTTATGTATTTTATAACTATTTGAAAATGTGATAAAATTGATTCTAATTTGGATTACCAATATCAACTCAATCAATTGGCATACTTTATTTATTTGCACCATTAATTCCTTTGGTATACCAACCACAGTCACAATTTGTATTTATCATTGACATTCTTAACGCAAGTATTCCCTTTTAAATGTTACACAAACATTCTTTTGCTTTTTATTTTCTTCTTTTGTTTTATTATTATTTGATAAAAAAAAAAATAAATAAACCAAACGTTTGTTATATTCATAACAAAAAAAAAAAAAAAAAAAAAAAAAAAAAAAAAAAATTAATTTTATTCACACTTTTTTTCTAATTTGTGCACTTTTTTTCAGATTCGACTGTTTTTTTAGTTTTTTTTTTTTAACATAAAAAGGTAAAGGTTTGATAGTTTCTATTTTTAGTTCAAAAATAGAAATATAGTGAAACCAATCCAATGAATTCATTATTAAGATACAGTTTAAAAATAATCAAACCAACCAATATAAAAAATGTTAAAATAACAACATCAACAATAAAACCCAAAACTTTACAACAATCAGGTGTATTTTTAAACTCTATTAATAATAAAAGTAACAATATTTTATATAAATTTAATAAACCATCAAATGATTATATAAACTCAAATATTTTTTTTGAGAATTGTAAAAATGAAATCAATATAAATAATAATAATGTAAATAAGAGAAATTATTCATCATCAAATAATAACAGTAATAACAATAATAATAATAGTAAAAATAGTAATAACAATAATAACAATAATAATAATAATAATGAAAGTTTTAAATTTTTTAAAAATTTATTTGAAATTAAGAAAGTAAATGGTATTTTAACTATAATTGTTGGAACATTTGTAATATTTAAAATTTATGACGATAAAATTGGCATTGTATTTTGTGAAAATGAAATCGATAAAGAGACAATATTAAATGATCCCTATGATAATAGATCAGAGGAAATTATTGTTGAATTAAAAGATATTGAAAAAGATGACAATATAATAGATGATGATAATAATGATGAAACCAAGAAAATTAGTTCATTTAAATTGTTTTTTAAAATGATTGGTAATGATATATGGTTGTTTTGTTTTGGTATTGTCACAGCATTTTTTTCAAGTTGGGTTGGATTACAAATACCTAAAGTATTTGGAAGTCTAGTTGATTGTACAAAGAATGGAGATCCATTGAAAGGACCAGCAACGCAAGCAATCTTTATTCTATTGGCACAAGCTGGATTAAATTTCCTCTATTCTACATTGATATCGATGGCATGTGAAAGATATTCAGCCAGATTAAGATCAACATTATTTGGAGCTATGTTAGAGCAAGAGATAGCATTTTTCGATCAAAATTCAACGGGTGATTTAATTAATAGACTTTCAAGTGATGTACAATTGGTAAGATCGGCATTGAAACATTCAGTGTCATTGGGTGTTAAAAGTATTGGCCAAATTGTTGGTGGTATAATTTCATTGATTCTAATATCACCAAAACTTTCATTTGGTATGATGGCAATTCTACCAACAATGGTTAGTGTTGGAACTGTTTATGCTGGTTGGTTAAAAAGTTTAAGTCTTAGATCACAAAGAGCACAAGCTCAATCTACCATAGTTGCAGAGGAAGCAATTGGTAATATTAGAACTGTTCAAGCATTCTCAAATCAGCATTATGAAACTGATAGATTTATGGAAAAGAATCAACAATCATTATCATTATCAACTGAATCAGGTGTTCAAATTGGTATTTTTCAGGGTGTTACATCTTTAGCATTGAATAGTGTAAGTCTTTTAGTTTATTGGTATGGTGGTACATTGGTATCA